GTTGTTCAGCATGGGGGTGAGTAGAAAATGAAGGCTAATCATGTTTTGGGTGTACTATTCCTTTAAGCCTCATATCAGCCTGAAAAGCACGTTAATGGGAACCTTTCTTTGATCCCCTCCACTGTTATCACACGTGATCGTCTCTTGTCCTGTGGCTGTTAGATATTCCGATGCGTTGAAGCAGGACCAAACTGATCTTCTTCTCTGTCAGCTCTGTAAGCGCAGCAGTCCTCCTCTGTCGCTGTACGGCCAGCTCTTATGGAGGGAGTTCTTCTACACCCTCGCCACCAATAACCCCAACTTTGACCGCATGGAGGGAAACCCCATCTGTGTGCAGGTGAGTCCTCCATAAGCTCCACCCTCCTCCATTGGTCTGGTTACGGTGAACCACGGCTGTCCTCTGCCGCTTGTCTGCAGATCCCCTGGGACCAGAACCCAGAGGCGTTGGCCAAGTGGGCCGAGGGACGGACCGGTTTCCCCTGGATCGACGCCATCATGACTCAGCTGAGGCAGGAGGGTTGGATCCATCACCGGGCCCGGCACGCCGTGGCCTGCTTCCTGACCAGAGGCGACCTGTGGATCAGCTGGGAGAGCGGGATGAAGGTGGGAGGGTCGGCCTTCCAGCAGCCTCTGGGACGTCCTGCCCGCTGACGGGTGTTCTGGTGTCTCTGCAGGTGTTTGAGGAGCTGCTGCTGGATGCGGACTGGAGCGTGAACGCTGGCAGCTGGATGTGGCTGTCCTGCAGCTCCTTCTTCCAGCAGTTCTTCCACTGCTACTGCCCCGTGGGCTTTGGGAAGAGGACCGACCCGTCCGGAGACTACATCAGGTCAGATTCCAGCTTCCTCTGAGGGACATTCAGGTTTCTTACCAGAACCAGGATCTCGAATGTTTAATAAACCTCCACCTACTGAAGGCTAATTTTTAAGAGGCAGAAGCTTTGCTTCATTAAATCTGAGGTAAAATCAGACTTCTTTGCACAATAATGTCTGTGCAAAACTATTCAGCCCCCTTTTCTGAGCGCAACCTGTTACCTGATTAAGCTAATCCCCCTGTGTGTAATCTAATCCAGTCCTCAGAGCTGCACAAAGCTCTGGGATGAAGCGCTGAGGTAGTCTAAAGCAGCCTTTGGCTATAAAAAGTTCAATCCATCTCCAGACAATTGAATGTACTGTTCATCATGAGATGTTCAAACCATGTGAAAAGATTAGACCGACTGGACGAGGCTGAGGCGTCCACCTGAACCTACAGGCTGAACAAGGAGAGCTCCGATCAGAGAGCAGCCAGGAGGCCATTATTTAAAAAAAAAAAAACAGTCTGCTGTTTGTTAGACGCCCACAGATGCAATAGCCTTGATAAAGAAACGTTCCAGACCAATGAATCAAGTGAAGCCTGAAGCAAAACAATCATCGCTGGTTTAGCTGGAATACCCTCTATTTTTGAAAACTAGAAATTGAACTAGACTTTTCAGGTTGGTAATGTGACAAAAAGTGGAAAAGTTCCAGGGGTGTGAATACTTCATCAATCTCTGTGTGTCTGTGCTCTGCTGCCATGGTCCTCTCTGATTCGCCCCGCAGGCGTTACGTTCCCATCCTAAAGGACTATCCCAACCGGTACATCTACGAGCCGTGGAACGCCCCCGAGGCTCTGCAGAAGGCGGTGAACTGCGTGGTGGGGGTGGATTACCCCAAACCCATGATCAACCACGCCGAGGGCAGCCGGCTCAACATCGAGCGCATGAAGCAGGTTTACCAGCAGCTGTCCCACTACAGAGGACTCAGTGAGTACAGCCCTGTTACTGGTGCAGGCTGAGGCTATATCGCCCCCTATAGGGAGCAGCCGGTTACACCTGTCCCGATGGTGTGTTTGGGTCCAGATCAGCAACTTTCAGTGGGAAAAATCTTCTCCATGTTTCAGGTCTGCTGGCATCGGTACCAACCATCCAGGAAGAGGCGGAACCGCCCATGACGGATGAGTCTCAGACCAGCAGCGGACCCGGTACCAGCAGCTCTTCCTCTAGACAATGTTTGCAGGGGTCTGAACTCTGACTGTCTCCTCCTGCTCCTCAGATTCTCCCCTCAGAGACCTGGTTGAAGTAGAAGCAGCCGGATGCTCAACGGTTCCTGATTCCTCCACTTCGATCCCACATTCCGACCAGGAGGACACGTCACACCATCATCTTTTCCTGGATCACTGCACCTCCTCTGGCCAGCCTCCCTCTCCTACCTCCAGCCCGACCCGCGGCGCCACATCTCGACATAAACCCGGTTCTCCCTCCTGTTCCTGCCTCTCTCCGAGCACCAGCCCATCCTCTGACCCTCTGAGCCAAAGACAGAGAGGATGTCAGAGCTGCCCGGTGGAGGAGGAGAGGATGCAGGAGGAGGTGGATGAGGAGAAGATGGAGGAAGAGGCGGCTCCACAGCAGTGACATCTGGTGGACAGGTGAAGTAGGACAGGTAGTTACTGCATTCCTTGGTGAAAATCTGTTAGCTTAAAAAAATTGTGACTTCATATAATGAATCTGACACACCAAGGGATTTTCAAACGCAGCTTCCTGCAGGAGGAGAAAGGCTGCCTGCTCACATTTCAGCACCTTTCTGCCCCCCACCAGAATAGCAGAGTGTTTTATTAACAGATCACAAGCAAATGGGTGGGTCTTAGGACAGAAGACCCTGTAATGATTATCTAGCTGGATGCAGGTCATAAAACAGCATGACCCTGCTTTATGGCCAACTGGCTGGAGGAAGGTCATATAGTGAAATGACCCTGAAATGTCTAACTGGCTGGAAGCAGGACTTCAATGTTTCATATGCACACACATCAACTTTATAATCATCATTGAATAAACCTAACAAAATCTATCAGAGAAATACATCAGAAATGCAGCAATCCTTTAATTCAGCTGGTATTTTGTTCAGCTTTGATGAGTTTATCATCTCAGACAGTGGTAGATTTTAAATAAATTGGAATCCTTTAAAGAAAGGAAAGGTTAGAGGCTAGTTATATGATGGAGGAATCTCCAAGGTTCCCTAAGAAACAACCGATGGAACCATAAACAAGGGTTAGTTTGGACCATTCAGACTACAATGTCCAGAAAGGAATCCTGATATCAGGCTTGTTCAGGCGTCATCTCCTCTGGGCTTCGCCTCGTCTGTTCTTGTTGGCTGTGACACCATCCTGGAGAGAAATACATTATCAGCTGTGCTGCTGCCATCAACAGCTTTGTTTATAGAGGTTTTAAGATCGTCCTGTTTTCCAGTGTAGTCCTGTTTCTCTGACTGTGACTGGCTGGATGTGCTCTCTTCATCCTCTGACATGGGAGCTGGCTCCGAGCTCGTCTGCCTGGCTGTGTGTTTCCTGGACGGGGCCGCCTTTTACAGCTGCTTTTTGTATCTCTGCTTCTGTCTCCTTGAACCCCAGTCGGCCTCAGCAGATGGCCGCTCACACTGAGCCTGGTTCTGCTGGAGGTTTCTTCCTGTTAAAAGGGAGTTTTTCCTCTCCACTGTCGCTACAAGCATGCTTAGTGTGAGTCAATGAATCGATGCAATCAACTGGTTTTCCTTAGATAGAAAACTTTGAATCAATTTGACTGGATGATCTGGTGAACTGTAAAGTGCCTTGAGATGACATGTTGTGAATTAGAGCTACCGTATATAAATACACTGAATTGAAATTGGGATTAGAGGCATCCAGGGTGAACGGTCAGAAAGTGGGAGGAGCATAAACATATGTCAAAGAGATCATTGGTTCCTGCTGTCAGTTCCTGCCCTTAAAAACTATATCATTACATATTTATGGTCCTTTCTAAAGATTGTCAGGGTCAACTTACATTAGAAACAGCACAAGATGAAAATTACATAAATTGCTAGATAGAACCAAGGCCGTAGTGATCATGCTGGATAGATGGGTCCAGACAGAACCGGAGACTTTTAGATTCATTCTGAGATGAAACTGCGAAGGTCCAGAAGAACCTTGTTGAGTCCAGAGGAAGCGCTTCTGAAGAGCCATGGTGGAGAACTGGATTGAAGTGCAGCAGAGCTGGGTTTGACTAGCAAGCAACCTGAAGGATGTTCTGGAGGTGTTTCTGGCAGCAGAAATCTAAGATTTAGCCACACGATGGAGCAGTGAATGCTATAGGCGTGACAGAAACATTAACCATCATCACGGCCTCGTTTTGTCCCAAAACAAAAGTACTCCAAAGAAGGCTGTTGGTGGTGGTGAACATGTGGCGTGTTTCCGAATGCAAGTCTTACTGCATTCTTAAAAATTTCAAACTTCTTTTTTTCCCTTTTAAAAAAAACAAAAAAACAAAAATGAGCCGCCAAAAATCTTGAAGTATTTGTTCAGAAGTCAGGGTGAAAATTTTTCTTTTAACACAAGTCTTTTTAAAGCCGTAGGAGAATCCTATTTAAATGTCAAATCATTCTGGCTTAAACATGTATAAAATGTACTCTTTTTCAGAGGATAATGTCCCAAAATTTTGAAAATTTTGAAAATCCTGTCTTAAAAATCTGTTTGTTTTTGTTATCTTCTGCAGGCCAGATAGTTATACGTCAGCTTGTACACCTAAATTATGCCAAGCACATATCAAAGGTCATCTTTCAATCAAATTATTTTGATCATAGCATCTTGATTCATATGTCGTAGCTAATATACGCAACGGTTGAAATAACAATCTTTGCAGAGTAGTGGTGACCGTTACAGGTGTATTAAGGTGTAATAAACTCACACATCATCAGTGATA